GATCAGGGAGCATCTAGTTCTGTCAGCCTGCGCATCGCCCGGAGCGTGTTCAACCCGGCTGTGCCTGCTTCGGAGTAGCTGTGAAAGTGCCAAGCTCCCAAGGGCCCCCATTCTGCCCTGCCTCCATCCCGTTCCATCGGCAGTTCCCCGTGCCTGGAAAGGGTTTCTGTCTCACTTGTCAGGACTTATAGGCCATCCTAAAACCCCTGGGAAAAGGTCACTCAAGACACAGCTTGGGTGCTGTTCCATCTCTCGTGGCCCTTGTCTGTCTGGGGCTCTGTGCCCCACAACGCTTCTGCCAGCTTCTTAGAAGCCCATCAGCCCATCACCATGACTGGGACCCCCTGCTGGATGAAGACCTTTGCTTCTGTGCCTCCTCTCGTGTCCACACCGGCCTAACACGGAGGCGGAGGCCAGGACTGGCTCCTGGGGGGTGGCTGGATAGCGGCAGTGAAGTACAGTGTGGGGGAGGGCAGAGAGCAGAAGTCCGGGTTCCCCAGCAGGCTTTCTGGTCCAAGACTTGGTGGGCAGGCAAGGTGGGGTGGGCCAGGGCCGGTGGGCAGGGATGCCCAATACAGTCACTCTTGACTCCTGGTGGCACTTCTCTTTCATGACATTGCAGACAGAACGCTTAACATGCCAGATGCTCCTCTGACTTCCAGATCCTCAAGGGAGGGCAACCGGTGCCAATCCTGGTCTGTCCCAGCATGCACCTGGCACCCAGCTCCCTCAGGTATGTGAATGGCTTGGCTGTGCTCCTCAGGAAGGGGCGGGGGGCAGCTGCTGCCTCCTTCTACGCATGAGGAAATGGGACCTCACGATCAGGAGTTGAAGTCCTGGGGCCAGAATGCTTGTCCCTCTCCCAGCTCCGTCACTTTGTAAGACACCAACCCTCTCCAGTCTGGTTTTCTCACTGGTGAACTGGCGCTGATGGTAAAAATACCTTCACCTCAGGCAGAAGGGTGAATGAGCTAATCCTTGTGAAGCACTGAGTTCCTAGAAAGAGCCTGGTGGGGTCAGTTACCATGTACCCACCCAATATACGCTCATCTTGCGGAAACACCAATGACCATACATCAATGCAAATGGAAACAACACACAGCATCCACACTGCTGACCTACCAGACAGGCAGAGCTCAAACCCTGCGCTGGGGACAACATGGGGCGGTGACAAGTGGAGACACTGCTGATGGAAGAAGAATATCAGGCAACATATATCAATATGAAAAGCACATGCGCTTTGACTTAGCAATTCTACTTGGAATTTAAACTCACACATGTGTGAAATGACGTTCCATATGCGGATGCTCACCACAGCATTGTGACAGGCAAAGACTGGAAACACCCTAAATGCCCATTAACGTGATTAACTAAATTATGGTACAGCCTTGTCCCCGAGCTCGGCGAATAGGAGGGGTGGGGGCCACGCCGAGTGGAAAGAAGGTGCAGAGCTGGGAACATGATCAGCCACCGTTTGGGCTGAAAAAGATTTTATTCTCTGGAAAAATACACAGCTGATCTTCGAAAGGGCACCGGAGCTAATTAGCAGTGGTGGCTTCTGGGGAGGGGCCTGGTGGCCGGCAGAGACATCTGGCAGGGACATTGCCACCTTGCAGCCCTCAGGCACACTCTGAAGGGACATCCAGGGCACGTATTACCCAATCGAGACAAAGGTAGCTGGGAGAAGCCTGCCATTTTCTCCGGCACAGATAACGAAGGCCCACCGCTGTGCAACCAGCCACTCTGTGTGTGTGCCAGGGAGCCAGACAGATTGAAAAATGTGGGCTGCACTTACCTCTACTGTTGGGTAAGAAAATCTAATCAAGAAGTTTCTGCCTTTAGGAAATCGAGTCTCGTCTCCCTGTTGACACTAAATTGACGCTCTTGGTAATGGCAGAAGATGCCACCTGGGCGCTGGTATTACTGTGGGGGTGACTGAAGGATGCCTTCGAGCCCCTCTGGCAATGCATCTACCCCCAGATTGCGGGGGAATGCAGCTTGCATGCAAATCTCTCTAAATGAGACACACAGCCCCATCTTGCCGCCGCAGGATTCAGGCACGGGGACCACCACAAGCAGAGCTGGCAGGCTGAGAAGGGGAGAGGAGAACTTATCTTTGCCCCGTGAAGAAACGTGTGACAAACACGGCTTAAAGGCCATCTGGTTGCCACGGTTGGAGGGGGAAAGGTGAGAGCTGTACAGCACCTTGGGCTGCTCGGATGCGGAGCTCTGGGACCACAACCTAGGGGGCTGTATCGTAGGGGCTTTGCTGGAAGGGCATGGCAGTGTGGAAGGAGTGGGACACAGAAGCAGTTAGACCACAGGGCAAGAGTGGCCTTTCCCGAAGCCTGAGGAGTCAGCATGGGGGGTGGGGGTGGGGGCTGCTCTGTGAGAAGAGACTCAGCGTGAAGACTCCAGAGCAAGGACCACATGCCAGAAGCCTAGGGCTAAGACGACTCCTAATGAGGATCTTGACTTTGAACTTTCAGAAACTGCTTTCCCAGCTTATGGAGTGGCTGAATGTTCTCCTTTTCCTGGATCCTCCAGCCCCTGGAAGGGTGTACCTCCGGAGTCCTAGACCCTACCCCATCTTTTCTCTCCCCTCTTCCCACCACAACGCTGGCGGGAGAGCACGTCGAAGGGGGCTAAGTCTTCATTTGTAAAAGGAACGGGTGAGGTCAAACCCGACTCAGCAGAGGACTGCGTAGGGTCACACCCAATCTCAGGAGGGAGCTGCCCTGGTCAGAAGAGGAGCTGGGAGAGGCAGCCTGCTCTCTAACGCTGGCCTCTGATGTGCTGTGGGGAGGCCTGGGGCTCCTGGAGAACAGACATGGAAAACCGCCGGGCAGAAAGGCTCTGGAAGGACGCTCGTGGCTGCCCAGGCGGAGGGAAGGGAGGCTCCCCACTGAACGCCTTTGTGTTAAGATTTTGAACTTCTGTAATTTCAGCCAAATTAAGCTGAAGGACTACACGGATCTTAGCGCAGCAAGTCTCTGGTTCTATGGGCTGCATCTGGACAGGTTTTATTCTTTGTGAATTCATTATGCCGTTATTGACAGTGAGGCAGATCGAAAAGTGTTAATGTCAGGCCAGTGATCCAAGACTGTCTTCTGGTGGAGAGGCCGCTCTTTGGAGGGGTGCAGGGGTGTGGAGGGGAGTGGGCTCAGGGAAGCACAAGCTGTGGAGTCAGCAGACCTCGTGGGAACACAGGCTCGGCTGCTCACCGGCCGTAGGAGCCTGTGAGTTACTCGTCCCCCGAGACCTCAGTGTTGGCGTCAGTAAACTGGGGGTTGAAGTGCTAAGGCTGTTGTGCAGATTAGAAAGGACAGATCTAAACCAAAGAGCCCATAGCAGGTGTTCAGTAGGGGTAGTTACTGCAGTTACAGAAGGTGAGGTAGAAACGAAGTCCGAGGAGTGAGTGCACGGCGGTCCTGCTGTTAAGCCCGACACCACCGCACCTCTGCCGGCTGCTTGATGACACTGTGTGTGTCTTCTCCATCAGGGTGGGGGAAGGACATGTGCGTTATCCCGGCAGAGGCCACATCTGTCCCACCCACGGCCCTAGGCCAGCTCAGTGCGGGCACAAAGCAGGTGTCATCCAAGCCACTGCCACCTTTTTTCCTCCCTCTGACATGTACAGTTTAGTGACACTAGATACATCTTCAAGCTGTGCCGCCCTCTGTCACGGGCCTGCTTCTCCTTCATGAACACACTCGCCTCCCAGTAAACGCTTGGAGTAGCTGCTTTCAATCCGATTCGATACACCCAGTTCTTAAGATACCACAATGTTCATGACAGGCCTTCATGTTTTTTAACCAGCAGACTAAAGCTTTGATTCTACAAAGTCGGGGGATAGTTCTGCCTTGAAGCTTAAAGATCAGCTCAGGGTCACTAGTTCTGAGGTTCATTTACGCTCATGGCTCTGGAAAGTCCAGAGTCAATGAGAATTTGCCAATTCTGCTCTGCACTTCCCCTTTTTGATCGGGATTCGGCTGCGGACTCTTCAGCCAAAACGTTCAACAGTCTACGCAGGGCCGTCTTACTCGGCTGGCCCGGCTGGCTGCTCACAGGCCCGTGGAGCTCAAGGAGGGCAGAGGGCAGCTGCTGCCCAGATCTGCCCCAGCCCCGCACAAGGGCGGGGCACTCCCTGCAGGCATGTGCTGACCTGCTTCATTTAATAACATGCTATGTGTCTGTCCACTTCCACAGTCGTGAGGACTGTGTTATTTGAGCATGGATTAAAACCATGCTAACGCAACACTGACCTCAGACAAGGAGGCCGACTTCCTCACAGCGCACCTGAAGCAGCATGTGAGGTCACCACTGTGGCAGGAAGGCCACATGTGGAGAGCACCCCACTTTTGTCACTTCCAGCGCCCACAGCGTGTGTGTCACTAAGCTGCACACTCACGTGTGGAATTTCATGCCACCCTTCTAGGCACCAGATGGACGTGATCATTCCCAATATGCAGGGGAAGGAAGTGAGGGTCAGAGTGGGATGTGGCTCTATGGTCTGTCAGCTCTAAAGCGGTGGCTTTTGCCCTTACACACTCGGGAGCCAGCCGCACCTGAGGAGCTGATGTCTTGGTGCTGGGGTGGGGTCCAATATCTAAACAGTCCCAACCAAAGTCCCATGCCCTGCCCAGGGTGTCTGAAGTGTGGCTGGGTCAGAAGGCTGCTCCGGGGTGGCGTCTCTGTGCCCCCAGGATGTAATACCACACAAGGCCGCAACTCTGGTCAGAGCTCTGACCTGGGAGTCAGGGCTGGAGGCCCCAGGGAGGTCAGTGTCTGGTCCTGACCCCTCCCAGTACAAACCTGCAACCTCACAGCCACCCAGCAGAGGAGCCACGGGGGTTGTTTTCTTAAGGACATGTTTGCTGAGCCACAAAGTGAGGTGACCCCAGGACCTTTTTCAGGCGTGTCAGAGAGGCCTGATGTGGACGCACTGGGGAAAGTGCGAAGGATACAACAGTTTACTGCAAAGAACTCTAGTCCAGGAGTACCAAAACTAGCTTTAATTTCTCCAAAAGCCACAGCAGGTTGTGTAAAAATCTGTGTCTGTGAGGAAGGCCCAGATGGTGTCCGTGGGGCCAGGCCGCAGCTTCTAGAAGTTCTCCAGCAGACCCAAAACACGCTTCTGCTCGCTGTCCCGGAACTCTGGGCTCCGGCCGTCGCCGATGTTCTCAGCATACTCTGGGGAGACAAAGGCAGCATTAGGCAGGAATCGGGGCAGAGGGCCCACTGTCACATCAGTCCTTTCCCTGAGAATCCCCTCACTGTCCCCCTGAAACCCCTACTGCTCTCATGCCAGCACTCAGTCTCTGCAGGAGGTAGGGGCCCAACAGCCTGGCCAGAGGACAGGCCTCTGTGACTGTGGGTGGGCTCCTCCTTGGAAATGCATGTAAACATCCAACAAATAAGAGCTGCACAAGAACCGTTAATCTCCTCCCGGATCTCCTGGCCTCTGGAAGCAATGCCACAGTGAACGCTGGCTGTGTCCTTCAAGGTCCAGCACAAAGGCATCTCCCCCAGTCATCCCTTCCTCCTCCCCTTCTCAGGCCACTGCCCCCACCACACTGAGGCCTCACTTCTAGCCCATCTGCTCCCTTCTGGACTGAGAGCTTCCCAAGGGCAGGGCCCTGTTTCACTCTCAGTCCCAGAAGAGCCTGGCCCAATGGAATGGGCGACTCCCACCTCTACCCACTGGGGCCTGGCTGGAGACAACAGAGGGCACTGTTTGGAAAGAGCCTTGTGTAGGATAAAACATCTGCTTATCTAAATCTGACAAAGGCTGGGAGACTGAAGAAAGTGTACCCACTCCGCCCCCCCGCTCCCCATGCTGGGGATGTGATCTTGCCTCCTCCACTTCTTCATTCCCCCTCCTTTCTCTTTATTCCTTTGGACATGTGCCGGAAAATGGGATTTGGGATTCAGCTATGTGCCAGCTGTGTGTCTCTCCCTGGAAATCACCTTCTTCTGCTGGCCCATCCATCACCTCCAACAGCAAATGGCTGTGATGCCTCCTATTAGGGCTCCTTAAGGAGGGGGCAGGGTGGGGGCAGAGGGCCTGGGCAGTGGGAGAAGGCCACGGGGCTGGATCTAAGTGGTGTCACTTACTCACATGTGACTGAGAAGAGTTCTGCCCCAGGAGAGAGAGAAATGACCATTATAGCATTTAGTGCCCCTGGAGGCTGGACCTGGAAGTAGGAGTCTTAATGGACTGAACTAACACTTCGCTCTCCTAATGTATTCTCAGAGGGGTCCCTGACCAGGGGGCTGAGTCAGTGTCATCTGGAAGCAGACAGTGGAACAGCACTAACGGGGACGCCAAGTTTATGTCTGCTGTCTCCTGGGGTCTCTGCAGTACTCCTATGAGGAAAGAATGTGTCTCTGTTTAAAGGTGAGGAAACTGAGGCTTAGAGAAAAGTGAAGTGTCCTGACAGAGTGTGGAATGGCGGAGGAGCTGGAATTCAAACCCGGGGACCCATGCGAACTGTGTAAAAAGGCTCTGAAAAAGTCTATCAGGTGTGGACTGGGTCCCACAGGGCATCTTGTGACCCATGCCACACCCTCCCTGCTGGCCCCACTGTGGGAGACGATCCCTGCCGGGGGAGCATTCAGAGCACCCCGGTCAGCAAGGTCCCTGGCTGAAGTCTTCCCTAAAGGTAAAGCTCTAGAAGGAATGTGCAATGGTAACGGGGCCTCGATGGCCAAAGCGAGACGGATGTGAGGACCCAGCCTGAGTCACAACTGTACACCAAGTCACCAAATACCAGATTGGCAGGGCTTCCAGAAACGTAATGCCACGCTGAGAGGGCAGGTGACCAGCCTGGGCCCCGCAGCACACCAGCCACGGAGCCGGGCCCAGAACCTGGGTCTCCAGCCTGGTCAGGAAAGCTGCCCTGGTGGATTGCCCAGCTGTCCACCTCTCCCCTCATCCTATACTCCTTTCCCCTATTCATTCTTTGATTCCAGCGTAGAATCCTATTTGGAGAAAATCAGTGGTTCCAGCCACCTCTGTTATTATAGCTGCCGCAGCAGTTTATAAATATTGAACAGATTCCTCCCAGAGGTCTTGGGAAAGAGTTCTCTTTGCTCTGTGTGTGTGTGTGCGTGTGAGAGGAGAGGAGACAATGCAGGGAACAGAGAGCTGCTAGATGAAGGGGGAACCAAATGGTGGGGGGGGGGAATGGAAAGAGAGAAACGGGGCGGGGGAGAGAGGAAGAGGAGGAGCTGGGTAGGAGTGAGGAAGATGGTACACACATCAAACCTCTTCTCTTCTCCCCCAGCATTTCTGAATGTTCGTATAATAAAGGCTTTGATGGAGCTCAAAACCAAGCAGCAGTGCTGAACGCATAAATATTAAAGCAAACTTTAGACAGCAGGTTTACTATTCAGACACGGAATACAAGCTGTTCTGTTTATGTTAAAAGGGAGAGGGTGGGGCATGAGGGCGGCAGAGAGGGAGCTGTCTTCCAGGCAGAGATATGGACCCGCGTTCCCCAACCTGCTGCAGGTTCCTAGACCTTCAGTCCTAAGAGCAAAATGCAGGGGGAAAAAGCAGAGGGTGGGATGGGGTGAGAGGAGGAATGCCAACAGTTGTACATGGAAAACCCTTGAAGACATAGGAATAACCCCAAAGTATTTCTCAGTTCTTTAACCGAGACAGGAAAATCCTTCAGGTCTAAAACTGATTCCTCAACACCAACCAGCACAGAAGGTTTCGACGCTGCCCCTGCTATGGAAGAGTACGTTTAGGGGCTCTGAGATATAGTTTCACGTGGAAATGAACCCACGTAGCAGAGCAGGGCCTAGACTCTTGTGCCTAGATGCTGACAGGGTCCCGCCCTCAGTCCTGAATACATCCTGGCTGGATGAGAAAGCCCCCACCCTCTGGTGGCCCCCAGGAGTCTTGACTGAGTGCCCGTCATGGCCTTTTCTGTCCGCATCTAGGTTGAGGCTGCTGGCACCATCAGGAGAAAGGTCAGGTTCAGGATGGGAAGGAAGGACCCTCCATGACTGAGCTTGTCCTCTAGGCCAGGCATTTGCCTGTCTTTCAACCTCAACCTTCCTTAGAGGGTCAGTGTTTACTTGGGGTTTGTTTTTCAGAGGAGGAAACTGAGGCACATGCATTCTTCCACAAATGTGCTCCAAGTCACCTAGTCTGCAATTATCCTGGTCTGAGCGTCTCAGTTCTGCTGTCTATTATAGGTACAATGATATAAACACAGGTAGGTGGCATTGATCAAGCCCTTATTAAGTGCCAGTCAACATGTAAGCAGATAGTTCCCCACCTAGCTGTCACAGCAGGCTGTCCCCACTGTGCAGATGACAGAAATGAGGCTTCGAGAGGAACAGCCCACCCTCAGGTCAGCTTGGAAGCAGGAGAGCATAGATCTGAATTTGGGTGGCCATGTGGCAGACTCCACATTCTTAGCCCTCAACTGCACCCCATAACCTTCTCAAACCTCCACTTCTTCTTCTATAAGGGAGGCGTAATCACAATTGTAGGAGGTGAGGACAGGTAACACAGATTAGAATATTGGTGCCCAGCACACATGGTGCCCAGGAGAGCACTGTCCCTCCCTTCCTCTGCATTCCCATCCCCCAAACCAGCATCTTCTGAGCGCCACTGTGCACTGAGAAGGCGGCTGCGTGTTGTTGTGTACCGTCCAGTTGGAACTGACTCACAGCTGACCCTCTGGCTGGTTTTCAGAGGCTGTTGATCGCACAGGAGGAGACTGCCCTTCCTTCTCCTGCAGAGTGACTGGCGGATTCAAACTGCATGCCTTCAGGATTGCAGCGCAGATTCTTGCCACTATGTCACCAGAGCTCGAGAACAAGGCTTAGGGGGCAGTAAACTTTTTACCTGGTTGAAGACATCCAGAGGTACCTCTGGGATTCCTGAGCCCTGTCGAGGCAGCTGACTATTGGGGCCACACATAGATGGCTACTGGGGGGGCCACACATAGCTGGCTACTGGGGGGGCCACACATAGCTGGCTACTGGGTTCTGACTTCCGAATATACAAGTGGCCACAGCAGCCCCGAAAGGGTGTGAGTCACACTGGGACCAATGTGCCATTAGGAGATAAATCCTATCAGCTTCTGCAGCTTTAAAAACGCAGAGGCAAAGCTCAGGTTACCAAGAACTCCAAATCAATATGGAAATACATGTTTATGAGCTTCTAAGAGGATATTTCAAGCCATAAAGAACACAAGCAAATGAAAGGGCCATGGGCCAATTTCTGGAAGCACTTTGACGTCTCTGGCTCCTTCTCTCTGCCCATCAGTGAAAGAGTTTTGAGTCAGTAATCCTTTAAGCTTTCCTCTCAAACAGCCCTGCTGTTGTACAATGGCTGCAGCCGCTCTGGGCATCCGGGTGGCCCGCCGACAACTTCCCCAGCGGACCAGAGCCTTCAGACGCAGACTGAGGCTTCCACAGCAACCTGCCACTTGCGGAACTGGTCCCAGCTCCAGAATTCTGGGCCACCTCCAGGGCAATGACCACTCAGTGCTGCACATTCACATCTGCCAACAGAAATCCTTCCCCTACTTCAAGAAGACACCTCCTCTGTGCAGCCTTCCCAGGTCCACAATTTCCTTCTAATCTCAGGAGAAGGAACTGTGCTTCCTCATTCCCACTGAATTTCCATATCTTAGTACTGATTTCGTTCCTTTGTGTCATGGTAGTTATTCCACCTGTGATGGGACTGTGTGGCTCTTGGGGACAGAACAAAGAGAGCATCATGTAGAGGACCATCCAGTGCCCTGAGTGGAATTAAACAAGGGCTCTATAAAAGTGACACTGCTGGTGGCTACTGCTGAGTTCGAACCAACCCACAGCTGACCCTCCACCAAGTTTTCCGGGGCAGTCATCACACAAGAGGAGGCTGTCCATTTTCCTCCCGTGGAGTAGCTGGTGGATTTGAACCATGTACCTTTGGGTTGGTAGTGCAATTACTCATCTCTAAGCCACCAGAGCTCCCTAGGAGGTCCTTGTAAAGGTGAAGGCCCTGACTTTTTCCTCTTTCTTCAAAGCCTGGAGAAATGTATCAGCCAAGCAGCCCTGTTGAGCGCTTCCCTTCTGCAGGATGGAGCACTTCTGCGGATGTTTTCAGTCTGGATGCAGCTTCCAACACTACTAATGACGTGGATGATGCCACTTATACTTAGGGAGTCTCAGTTTCCTTATTTACACAAAGGAGGTTATTCCTCTGCCTTTGGAGCTGTTTTGAGGGCCAGAGCAAACGGACAGAGGAGATGCTCTGATGGCCTCTTATGGCCTTGTGCTTCGAACAACAGAGAGAAACCTGAACTTCCTCGGCATTCACCCACCAAGTAAGAAGAGATCCCCTCCTTTGGGTTAGGGATGGTTCCAGGACCCCGAAGGAAGGGACACTGTCGCCGTCCTTGCAAAGAACAGTCTGACAAGACAGGGGAAGGGACCACCACTCGGTTCCCGTCTTGCGAGGGCCTCACAGTCCTCAGGCCCAAGGCTGCTGTCACTGCAGGCAAAGCTGGACTTTGCGAGCGAGCGCCGAGTAAGCAGTCTGCACAAAGGAGGACTTTAATGAGCCATCAATTATTCCCGGCTCTCTTGGCACCCCCCCCAGTAGAAAAGGGTGGGGAGCAGAACGGTGAGAAAGGGGACAGAAAAATAAAGGGAAAAGTCCCCTGCTGGGCTTGCCTCATCAGCGTTTTCCTGAGACCTCAAGGGATACATCAGCTGTCATCCTGCCAGCAAAACTTGGGAAATATGTAGGCCATAAAATCAATGAATAAAGCTTTTTTCTAATTTTTACACTAAAAAAAAAAAAGGAAGCAACCCAAACTGAAAAATAAAATTAAAATCAAAGAGGACAGACTGATGAGCTGGTTTTCTTTATGAGGCTTTGTTCTGTGCGCTGTGGTGGGAGGGAGGTGAGGCAGGAGGGGGAGGGGAGAAGAGAGCCAGGTGGGCTTTAAGAGGTAGGTCAGGGCAGACCCCCCACCTGCCCATTCTGACCCCCCAGTGTAGTTACACCTCCTTTCAACCTCAACGATACAATAAGGTGGCAGGACCGACCATGGGGTCTCTGCCGTGTGGGTGATGGTGGCCATCTCAGAGAGAGGCCACATCACATGCACTCACACAGGGACACAGAAACCTGCAGGCAGCAGGCGTCAGGGTAGGTGGGCCAAGGTGAGAGGGTCCAGAACCTGTTACTACCACTTCCTCAAACTGGAGAGAACAGTTTAAGAAAATAAACGGTCAGGGCCATGTTGAGGGGCCCTTCAGCTTTGTCCTGGCTTTAAATATCACCTTCACGCTAACGATTTCTGGTTCCCCAGCTCAGTCCTCTCTCCTGATCTCTAATGAGACTGTCCAACTGGCTGCTCACTGGCGAAGGGACGCAGTCGCTACCTGTCCCCCCAAATGCCATGAATATCCAACACCCCACGTCCACCAGCGCTCTAGCCTCCAATGTTTCTGCTCCCTCTGCTGACCGGGCGGGAGTCGCCATGACAGGACCTGCCTCTGCTCCTTCTCTAAGGGCCTTTCCTCAGCAGCCCCCCTCAGGGACCCTCCGCAGAGTGCTGGGGAGCAGGATTCCAGGGATGGTCTGGCCTCCCTTACCGAGTCCTCACCATGCCCTTAGCACACTCTTCAGTTGCTAACACAGCACTTAACACATTATAATTAGTTTCCAGGATCTCTCCCTCCAGACTGTGAATGCCCAAGGACAGGGATCTGGCCCACGCTTCCTTCTCTCTCCAGCTCTGGATACAGAGCCTGGCACCCAGAGTACTTGAGGACCTGAGGAGTTACCACCTGAGTAGTTCCTGGCACATGTCTTTCTTTTCACCTTGAATATGCTTGCTCATATAGCTGTGTCCCCAAAGACTATACACTCCATGAGGGCGAGGGCTGTGTGACCTCTCTGACTGACGCAAACCCCTTGGCACTGTGTCTGGCCTGAGGAGTGTCTCAGCAAATGTTTGCCAATTACATTAACACCAGAGCAAAGCTCAACCCAACAGTTTTCAGAGTCCTTACTGGGTCCCTATCATCACGTAGTGCTATGGTGCTGTGGACATGTGCTAATGAAGCAGACAGAGCTATGTCGGAACATCCATTTTAATGTACGAGACAGACAAAATGGGTAAACAAACACATAAATAAGAACAATTACAGACTGTGAGATGGGCTAGAAAGGAAATAACAGGGTGTTATGAATGGAGATAACATATGGAAGGAAAGGGATGGATTCAGGATTGAGTTAGCAGGCAGATTTGGCAGGATTTACTATTAACTAATGGTTGGCTCCAAAGTGTGATGGAGAGAGAACGGAAGGGCTGGCCCCGGGCCTGGAAGGACAGGTATGAGGGTCTGGAGAGAAGAGGACGAAGAGGAACAAGGGAGAGAAGTGAGAGCAGGGGGTAAGGAAGAAGCCGTCTTTGCAGGATGCTTGCTGACATGTGCACTCACCTACTCCCTTGCCCATACACCCTTTTAACAAATACATTTAGCTTCTAGAATGTGCCTTCTGCTTTGATAGGCACTGGGGGAATAAATGAGGCTCTGAGGTGACTCAGAGTTTCATTCAAAATAAGCAAAAATTCAGAATCACCTATGATGCACATGTTAGAACTTAAAGAAGAAAAACACCACCTACTTTGTGTCAGCACGTGTTAGAAACACTTTCTCAGGAGAGCGCTGTTTTGATTACAGGGATGGAAGTGCAGGGGAAAGCCTAAGTGCAAGACAGCAGAGCAGAGAGGAGGAAAAAGTTCTAATGGAATATGTGGGCGTTAAAAAGTAAATGCCAAAAAAAAGGTAAATGCCATTTAAAGGCTGGGGTCGCAAATCACTGCTGCTCCACCCTGGGGAGGGGGGTGGGCCTGATGCGAGTTGGACCCTGCGAAGGAGCCAGGAGCCCCCCGCATGCTGCTATGAAGGGAGATACCGGGGCAGGCTCAGGATGGGGCCTGCTATTCGCTCTCCTCTTCCGCTGAGGGACAGGACAGTAAATTCCACTCTCTCAAATTCTCCATCTGTAATATGGGCACAAGGGAGTTACCAGGCCCGCCTGCCTGGAGAGCTCTGCGCTGGCCACATGACTCCAGCCCTGAGCCTTCACTCATGGTCCCTTCCTCCTGGAATGCCCTTGTTCCAACTCCCAGGACCCAGATCCAAGCCACCTGCCGCACAGGCTTCCCGCGGGATTCTAGCTCTGCTTCATGTATAATGATGATGATGGTCATTACCACGTTCCCTAATACCTGTAATCACTAATATTTACTGAGGCCTTATTAATAGTCAGACGTTTTACATATGTTACCTCCTTTCATTCTCTCAATCACCCTATGTAGCAACTGGGATCTTGCGCGAGGACACTGAGCCCACGGTAAGGTCAGGATTCACACTTAGAAGTCTGATCCCAAAGCCCTCCCTCTTAAGCCCAATGCTTTAAGGTCTGAATATCTTCTCTTCACATCGCCATCTCCCATTTGCAACAGGAACTGTATGCAAGTGAAAGGGGACCCTTTTGAGTAAATCTACACTTATCCTTCATTTTGGAAGTGGATGGTTTGAGGGGGAGAGAGGAAAAAGTATTTGCCATCAGATACTGGTCTGCCTTGCCTGGCTCTGAACTCCTGTTTCTAGTCCCGAAAGCCAGTAACTGTGCGGGCCTGTCAGTCCGTGCTGCCCAGGTGGTCTCAGAGTGGCCTGAGGGTGGGGATGCATCACAGAGCTCAGTGCCCATGAGCAAAAACCCCAGGACTTCCTCACTGACTCAAGTCTTTTTGAACCCACTCCAGCTGGACCTGACACAGCACAGAATCCAGTGTCTGGGGAGGGTTCTGAGGCAGGAAGGAGACAACTTCACACTAATTGAGTACGTACTACGTGCCAGGCACTGGACTGTGTGTGATCATGCATCCCCACCCGCTCACATGGACGGGGTGGGGGGGGGGGCAGAGCCAGGACTAGAAAGCAGGTAAGCTTCTACCGCTCCACCCAGGCTAAATGCACTTTCTCTGGTCTTGCCTAGTATTAGTTATTTGTTACTTCCTTGTTTTTCTTTTGCTCCTCAAAGAAAGTAATTTCCTTCCATGAAATGCAATTTGGAACTGGAGTTTCTACTTATTTGCTTTATCTTTTTTTTTTAAACAAAAACAAAGAAACCCAATGTTTTCAAGCCTTAGTATTTCTTGCTTGTTAAGTTTTTTAAATTCTGGAATTGGATGGCCAGAGGCAGAGAAAAACTAGGTTAGCTTCTGGTATTCTGACAAAGATGATCTTCACACACAGTGAGGTGGACGGCACACTTAATGTTCTTAGAGCAGAGAATGCTGCACACCAAATACCAGGACATTGACAGGGACCCATCTCGTTCCACGGAGCCCCAGCCCCAAGCGTCACCCAACTCACCCTTGATGATGTGCCTGACGATCTTGATGGAGCTCCCACGCATGTTTAGGATCTGGTGAACCCGCTGACGAATCTAATAAGGCAGGCGAAGGGGAGGGGGAGGAAAAAAGATCATCTTCTTGGCCAATCTTTCTGAAAGATCCAACCCATCCTTGGAAGAGAGAGCCCACACGGGGGTCAGGGGAATCAGGGGGCGTCATCCACCTCTTCCTTCGAGTGTCTGACATCGGCAGGTAGTAAGGAAGGAGGTGGGGTGAACAGGTCCTTCGGGGGACCCCTCGTACCTGGGGGACGTTGGCATTGCAGATTTCGGCCATGATGTAGCAGATGTGCTGGAGAACAAAGAGGCCTGCATCCAAGCGCCGGAGGTAGAACTCATCCTCGATGTCATTGTCTATGATCTCTCCACGCCGAACCATGTCCTAGAAATGAGCGAGCATTTGGGAATAAGAGCTGGGCACTGAGCAGGAGGAAAGAATAAGCTACGAGCCTGACTGACTGTAACATACAGAGAAGAGCAGCTACAGTCAAACAGCAACAACAAACCACTCCACTTTGATCCGTCTTTATGGCTCATTAATCTAAGGTATCTTCTGCATAGTCCTTATTCTTCATAGATTATATGTGACTCAGGAGTCAGGCTTGAAGCTTATTGCTACCGCTGTTTCCCATATGATGAGCTAGAGTCAAAATTATCTCATCCACACATTTATTAATAGCAAAACAAAATTAGCTGAAGGGGCGTAAACTTCAGCTTTACCTGCTTCTAATTCTTTCTCTTTAGTTCAGGCCTCCCTAAATTATCTCTCTACAGGGTTTACTTATCCATCTTCACTCCAGGGAAAGCATGGGGAAGAAAGGTGCCCTCTCTCTACATCCCGCCTGGGCACACTGGTGAAGCTGATGGCAGGAGTGCCCAACATGCGTGCGTTTGCCCCTACTGGCTTACTTCTCGCCAACTGCAAAATGCTGGCAATGGCAGGACTCAGTCACGTGCCTTAACCTTTGCAACCTCAATCCTGATCCATCTTGAGTTGGTCTCTGCCCACCACCTGCTACCCTCGAGTGGAGTCTGACTCACAGAGACACTCCACGGGGTGTCCAAGCCGTAAATCTCTATGTAAGGAGACTGTCCATCTTTCTCCTGAGGAGTGGCTGGTGGATTCAAACCACTAACCTTTTGGTTAGCAGCCCAGTATGTTGTGCACTATGCCCCTACGGTTACTCTCCTTCTGTAATGTTAGTAATTGTTTTTAAAATTCGCTTGAGATATGATTGATATAACATTCCTTTAAAGGATATAATAGTTTATATTAGGATTATATAAAGGATATGTTTAATAGTTTATTCAGAATTATGTGACGATCGTGACAATCAATTATATAACTTTTAAAATCACCCATCCTCCAACTGAACACCTCATCTAGTGCACTCCTCTGCTAGAAGGTTCTTCTCCCCGACTCAGGGCCCGGACGTGGTCCCCTCCTAGGATTCTCTGTGACGGTCTGTCAATCCCAGCTTACTGTAAAGCCACCTCCACCACAATCTTTCCTAGTTGTCTTGACGCAGCTTAGTTAAGACAACAAACTGCTCCTTCCCTTTGACATCACTCCATAGCTCCCTCTCTTGCGCATCACATTCCCACTGATCTCGGGCAGCAGTGACTCTGCTGTGAAATCACTGCTGTGATTTCATGGGGGTGACTGAGAGCGCTCCGAAGCCAGAGCCTGAACTCGGCTCCCACGTCCCCAGCTCAGGTCAGTCAGGCAGTGGATGAGAGAATGAAGTCAGTTCTGTTGCAGGGGATCCCAAGTGGGTGGGAGACTGTGCAAGTGGCAGGCTGCTGCTCTAAGAAGACAAGTGCGTTTGACGACAACAATCCATTTCTTAATTCTGTGGGCATTTTGATGGCCATGGTTCTCAGGCAGCTGTCACTGACAGAAACCCTAGGGACCTCGCTTTTCACTCTCTCAGACTCTAAGGACGCACCCTTGTGGTCATTAATCTCCCACAAGAAGCCTTGGAGACTATTTAGACGCAGATAATGCAGCCCTTTATTTGCCCAGGGGGACAGCCCCTGGCAACACAAGGCTACTTGCCATCTCACTCCTACAGCCTTCAGTCTCCGAGCAAAAGACTGCCGAGCCCTGCACTGCCAGCAGAGCACCACCCCGGTTCCTAGCTTCATTTAATAGCAAATTTCCTGGTAATCTAGTAATAGTGTTAATGTTCATGAGACAGTCATGGAGCACTGGTCTGATGGCCAAGGTGTTTAAAAATAGAAGGGCCTCTTTAGTTTCTCATTTGCCTCTAATCATAACTTCCTGCTCCAGAACTCCTAAGTGTTCAGCAGCTGGGGGCCCAGGAAGGAAAATTATTCTCCACTTTCACACTCATGCAAAAAGCTTTTGCTGCTACTATGCTTTCTAAAGCTATAAGTTTAAAGAGGTTTTGTATGTTCCTCAAAACCCCTCCGTATAACCACAATCAAAGAGGACAGGGAAGTGATTAGTATTTTCATTGCATTAAGTTAGAAACCAAGGCACAAAAAAATTAGGTTGTTCACAATCACATATATATCAGTTGCTAGACTACAGACTTGCTGGCTGCTGGAATTCTATGTTAGATACGGGCAAGTTCAGACGCTGTGCTCCTATCACGTACCGAGAGGTAGAACCATTCTAGGCAGTGAGCTGGCAGAAGAAGAAAAAAGGCAGAAGTCAGGGGAAGCCCTGGTCTTGGTGACGAGGAACAGACCAGCTGCCCAGAAGACCCAGGAAATGGCCAGAAAGCAAAGGGATGTTGTGCTAACAAGTTAAAAACAATTCCAAGTGTGAGTGCTGATCGGAGCTGGTTAAGAAGTTAGGAAATCCTGCAGGAAATTGACTTGTGGGTAAGGTTTCAAGGCACTTGAGGACCAGATTAGCATGAATTCCTTAAAGTTATGGCCTTTCTGATGCCCAGAAGTCAAGGAGAATTAAGAAAGCTAGGAAGAAATGTTAATATTTGAGCTAGATTTTGAAGAGTGTTTTAAGTTGGGGATGGTCATTCCAAGCATAGGTAACAGTGTGAACAGAAGAAAAGTCAAATTTGATAGTGTGGTCTTCTCAATTGCTTGCTATGATTCTGAGAGCTGGACAATGAACAAGGATGAGAGAAGAACTGATGCCTTTGTGGTGGTGTACTGGAGAAGTGTACTGAACATACCATGGACTGCCAAGAGGGCAAACAGGTCTGTCCCAGAGAGGGTGAAACCAAGCTGCTCCTTGGAAGCAAAGATTTTGAAACTCTGTCTCACACTCTTTGAGCATGTTGCCAGAAGGGACCAATCTTTAGAAAAAGACATCATTCTTGGAGGAGTAGGAGTCAGTATATGAGAGGAAGACCCTGGATAAGATGGATTGACACAGTGACTGTTGGAGACAGTGAGGTTAGCTCAGGATAGGGCAGGGTTCAGATTTGTTGTTCAAAGGGCTTCTATGAGTTGTAGGTGACTTGATGGCACATAACAATTAGAGGAATAAAATCTTAATATGTACTATAGTATGGAGGGAGCTTGAAAACATTATACTGAGTGAACTACACCAATCACAAAAGAACAAATATTATATAACCTCATTTATGTAAAAGACAATTATATACAGCTTATCAGTGGTTACCGGGGCAAATGGGAGGTGAAAAAGATGGATTAATGGTGATTAAAAGAAAAAAAAATCACACCAATTAAAGGTAGAGCTGCACAATGATCACTGTAATTGCTGCCAATAAGTTCTATATCTAGAATAAGCTGAATTAGTAAAAGTTGTGTGGCAGATATATTTACAACAAAGACACTAAAAAAAGTTGCTAAGGCTGAGTGTGTACAATCAAACACTTCATAGGATTGGGCTCCTTGGTGTGGAGGTTCAGGGTCATGGTTTTATGGACTATTCTAGTTCACTGGCCCAATAACAGGTTTAGTGCTCTCTTTTACCTCCTCATTCCTGGTGTAGTGCTTGGGGTCTTAAAGCTTTGCAAGCTGCCATCTAAACATGACAATTGGTCTCTATTTGCCTGGCATAAGAAGGAGGGAGAAGTAAAAAATAGAAGGAGGGGGAAGTCAACAATAGAAGGAGGGTGCAGAGCATGTGGCTAATTGTCTTCATGAACAAATGCCTCCTTTGCCATGAGACCAGAATGGGAGAGTGCCTAGGCACAGCTACTGAACATTTCTTCTAAGATTCCGCATTACAGTCTTGACCTAAAGGGGGTAAAGGGAAAAGAGAATTTTACATTCTAAGAGGCTCTAGGTTTTCTGGAGCCATAAACGGAAGATGAAGCCTTAAAACTACTTCATTGAATCAAAAAACATAAACCAAAAAATATTCCCTGAAGTCATCTTAAAATGGAACAATAGCTTAACAAGGAAGAAGAAGAAGAAAAAATCAACCCTGAAGATTATACTATTAAAGGCCTTTTTAGGGCCTAGTGGTAAGGAGTTGCCCTGGTAACGCAACGGTATACAGCCGGAATCCACCAGCTGCTCCTTGGGAGAAAGAATTTCCTGTGGAATGTTCTGCCTCTGAAAATCGGCTGGAGAATCAGCTATGAATTGGCTCTGACTTGATAGTACGTAATGACAATAATGGCATCCAAATAGCATCAAACTGACAGCAGCAAATGGAAAAATCTGACAGAAACTTTAGGGGGCAGTGAATTTATATCAATGAGGGAAAAACAGCCCAGAGGAGAGTGACAATGTTTGCAATCCAGGATAATAATCAATGTTACTAAATTGTATATGCAGCAATGGTTGAATTGGTGACTCTTTTGCTGTGTATATTCCCATCAAGAACAAAATAAGAGAAACTTAGAGGAGGGGAAAAATGCTCTGCTAAGTCAAGCCTGTCCATTTGGTCACATGGACCCATGTGACTTCCTTTCTCACCCTCTTCCCCAGAAACGGATCTTTTAACCAGGCAGGTACACACAGTACTTGCTCAGGTCCTTTAAATAGTGTCATCTAGAAACAAGGACCCAAGAGAGCAATGCCAAACCCCATATCCCCCCTCTTCCTTCAGAACTTCAAGACTGACAATATTCAATTCAACATTCTACTTTCAGACACACGACCATATGATTTGAAAGGGAATTTTCAAATGTAGACGTGAGATACAACTGCGGCTCATCTACAAGAAAGGTATTGCCATTGCTGCATCAAACATGCACAAAGATGAACGAGAGACTGGCTTCTGGAGACGAGGTTTCTGCCCTGCCAGTCTGAGGAGTGTCACGGAAGCGGACAGCTGTCAGGCCTACACCTCATCTCGTCCAGGAGGACCCGGCGGCACGGAACACACTGCTGAATGGCTGCAGGAAAGGCAGGCAGGCAAATGGAAAAAAAAAAAAAAGCAAGATGCTCAGGTACCACTCTGATGGAGAA